GGGGGGGGGGGGGGGGGGGGTGCAAGTTGGCACCAGTGGAAAATGAAGCAAAGCGGTCAAGTGACCCACTCGGAGTGTCTGACCAGGAGAGGCCAAAAAGGCTACTTTCCAGCGAGATGATTTTAGGTCACGGACGCGGGGTGTATTTTTGGACTAGAGAGAGAGAGAGAGAGAGAGACAAACGCAACCTAAATAAACAGCACAACAACACTCAACACGACTGTTGAAGATCTACAGCGGAGACGATTTAACACCTAGCTACTTTTACTAGCTGACCCCCCCCCCCTCCCCCCTTCTTAAGCATCCTCACCAGAAAAATCACAGAATTACCGGCTCATTATTTACACATGGCTTGGATCAGAGTGGAGAATCTCACACATACAACGAGCCAATATCTCCAGGGAATATTATTATGAGACATTTAAAACGCCTCTCAGCAGCCGGATCTGAAAGAGCCTTTATTTTGTGTGGTGAAGACAGGCAAGGAAAGAAATTCCTGCCACAATAACAAGACAAGACAAAATCTGTGTGGGATTTTTTTTTTTCCTGAACCCCACCACCCCCACCCCACCCTCCCTGATTTGGCTCGGGTTGCTCGGCTTGTCACTTGTTTGTCTCACTTCACCATCCTGGGGACCCTGCAGCCTGGAACAATGCACTGTCGGATGGGGCTGCACACATTTCCAGGACCTTTCAGAGCAGCAGCAGCAGCAGCAGCAACATGAGTGATTTATTTACACCTATTCTTGGCTCATTAATGCGTCTGTTGTTGTTTTTTCCACAAACCAAGCAGATGTAAATATGGACATGCAAAGATCCAGACAGTGGCAATCTGCTTTTTTTCAATTATTTTCTAACCTCCATTCAAACAGACACACACACACACACACACAGCAGCAGGGGCAGGCTCAACACTCCGGAGCCTGAACGTCCCATTTGATAATCCCCTAAGAATATTTAAACAGAAATAAAAAAAAATCTGTCAGGTCGTTCTGCAGACCATGGGGGGGTCAGTGAGAGCGACAACCGTATGCTGTGCAATGTGGCAGTCAGAAGAAGGAGAAGAGAAAAAAAACCCAGGCTCTCATCTCCTCTCTCTTCCCATCGCATCTCATTTCATCGCGGGTTGTTTGAGAGGAAGCTGATGCTGCCTGACATAAAAGAAATCACGATCACTTCAAAATAAATAAATAAATAAATAAATAAATTACCCGTTGTTTTTTCTTAGGTTGCATTAGTACTGGAGTCACTTTCACCTCTGCAAAGCCCCATTCACACATAATTCACACATGTCCTACAACTGAAGGCGACTGAACGCAGAGGACAACGTTTACAAACACACCATAAAGACAGCAAACTCACCGACGCCGTATTTCTCATGCTCAGTAGGTATCCACATGTTTACGGTGGGCACATTTAAGTGAGTGGTCGGAATTGCAGCGAAACGCAGGGTTTAGATGCAGCGTAACACATTATACTGCTGTGCTTTCCTCCGCTGTAGTAGGACTCATTGTTTAGGTTACAGAAGCTGAGAGGAGCTGGGGCTGCTGCTGCTGCTTGTAGAGGTACGGAGACGTGGTGCGTTCAAGTGCTGTCGGAGATATGACACTTACTACTCAATCGGGGCATACAAACCAAACCGCTCGGTGGCCGGTGACCCCTGCGGGTGGATAAAATGTTCCGAGCACCGCCACCTCCTGCTGGAAATACACACTACTACCTGAGGTATCCGAACGTTAGGCTGCCATTGGAATTACAGTACTTTTAAAAATACAAATTAACTCTACAATTTTCTCAATTAAGCTACTTAAAGCTCAGCGTGACGTCACTATTTAGACTTACCCACAATTCTTTAATGATTGCGGGCTAGCTAAGTCGCAGATAGATGTTGAAAACTATACTATTTAAAACTGTTGGCCATTACTGTTTCTTCCATTACAAATTAGTATATTGTCTTTTTTGTACTTCCAGTAATAATAAAAAAAAACAAGTCCTTTAAAAAACTTTGGCGATTCTACAAAAAACAACTCCTTAAAAAAACGTTGGCGATTCTACCAATCAGTTTTAGAGGATGGAAAATTACTACGTGATAAATTTAGTTACATATTTACGTATATTTATCATAACAAAAGTAGAGCAGTACAAAATGTATTCGTTACGTTTGTGGAAAAATACACAACTTAACATAAATTTGTTTGTTGTTGTTGTTTTATTTTTCACTCCAGTCTCGTCTTGTTCATTTGTAAACACAAGCACATCGTGACTTATATATACTATATATATATATTATAATTCCTACCTAACCGTGATCGAGAGCAACGATTTCCGACGAGCATTTGAATGCGTCGCCTCCGTCGACGCAGTGGAGGACGGACGTGGTGCATTCTGGGAGTTGTAGTAATAACTCGTATCGCGTACCATCTGCTCATCCTTTTGTAAGCAAGTACGCGAGTATTGAATGTCCCCTGGGAAAATAAATACTTCAATAGTACTATGAACAAGGAGGTGTCTGATTTATTCAGCTGTAGAAAAAGGTTTAAGATAAAAACAAATAATTAAACACAATAGATGCAATTTAATCAATTAAAAAAAACATTTTCTTAAATGGAAAACTTGCCAAAGTCATAAGCTTACACAATAAACATGAATTTATAAAGGGAGCCTATCACATGACCTTGGAGGAGTCCTGTCTTCCACACATGCCTCCTACTGGGACAAGTAGGAGGCATTAAAAATACATGAGCGTGCTGAGGAAGAAGAGGGGAAAAAAAACGAAGGCTGCTCCAGCGCCCAGGTGAAAGTTGACCTCAGTGCACATCCATGCAGAGAAAGTTTGTTTTAGATTGTGTTGATTCTGTCAAATACACCTATAGCCTCACAAGCCAGAACGGAGACACATTCATTTGCAATGCAGTAAAGAGTGCATTAAAACAAATCTTTGAAGTGCCAAATATACCCTGCGTTTCATATGGGTCTCATCGCAGGTCTGCCCGTCCACTCACCCAGCCACCTTTGTAGTTTACATGGTGCATTAGAAATTAATGTGACATGGAAAAAAAAGAAAAAAAAGGCATCCTGAGGTGGCTTTATAAGTTGAAGTACTCGTACCGTGTACTCGGGGGCTTCGCGGGTCACCAGCCTTCCACTTCTCCTATCGTGTCGTTCACAAACAAGGCGAAAAAAATTTAAATTAGAAGCGGACTCCAGTGGTGGATTAATTTTACAGTGCATTTTCACATGGCGCGTGCTTCGATTTTAGTGATCCTTACTAGGGGGGTGTAGGGACGCAGGTGGGGGTTGCGATGCAGGGTGCAGCAGGATGTGAGGTAGTTTTCTAGTCTTTATATGAATTAATCATAAGCCAGGGAGCAAAGTAAGACAGAAACCCCGGTGAATTCAACCCTGAGAGGGAAGCTGACCGGCGCCTGTGTGCTTTAGAGACTTGGCCATTTCTACTTCAGTGTGTTTTATTATTATTTTAAATATTACTATAAGACGGTGTGGAGTCCTTCTGACTTGACAGAAAAGTGTGAGAGGTGTACTGATAAACACAGTTATCCTGTTAAATTAATAACATGGCTAATAATAGAAAGTGCATCAGTGGGTTTGAAGGGCACTGTAGGTGGCGTGCAATCACAGATTGCTACACTGAAGCTGTAGGGGTGGGCATCTAAATAAAGCATCAGAAGGAGAGATGGTAGAGATGGGAGGAAACAAGAGGAAGAGGAAGGAAGGTGTAAGCATCACTGTGTGAAGTTGAAGAAGAAGAAGAGCTCCTCCCAGTTTCATTTATCGGACTACATCGATCGTACAGTGACTAATGTTTTATTGCATTTATTTCAGGATTTTTTAATGGACTTACCTAAAACGTTAAGAGCTAGCGCCCCCTGGAGAGGAGCCCACATTTGTGGAAGTGCAGTGTTCTACTGTGCAGCTCTTGAGGACACAATGAATCACGATCACAGGTGGATTGAAGGTCAGAAGTCCAAAAATAGTTACATCGAAAGGCAACTGGACGGAGCAGGTTTTTTTTTTAAGACTAACTATTTTTTGGATTAAATTACCTGGATGACTTAGAACCTGACATGAAGGTCAGAAGATGTATGAAACAATTGGGTCGGCTTGATAAAAGTCCACTTTGAAAAAGAAAAATCATCCCACAATGGGGAAAACTCAAAGCATGAGTGTTTGCAACCCACATAGGCTGCCACAGGAGGCACCACTGGGGATCAAACCCAAGCCAGGCTTTTCTTAATGCTTTGGCTGGATTTGCGACTTATACTCAGGTGCGACTTATATATTAAAATATATAATTTTCCATGTTTGATATTTTTACAATGCCGCTAGAGGGCACTCTAGGCTTGTAATACCAATATCTGTAAGATGCACTTTTTTCATCCTTTGGCTGATGCGACTTATAGTCCAGAAAATACGGTAGTAATTTTTATGGTGAAAAAAATGACAATACGGTAGTAATTTTTATGGTGAAAAAATCTGATTTAGTTAGAACGTAGCAAATCACATCACAATATCGTTAACTTTTGCTTTCTTGTATCTTGAAAGAATGTTTTCAACTGGACAGACAAGTTTCTCCTGAAAATAAAAAAAAATCAGTTTCAAGAGTCAGTCTTTCCTGAAAGCTTCAACTTCTGAACTTGTGTTTTGCTTCAAACCAGCGAAGTGACAGACATGGACTTTGAAGATAGAAGAGCAGTGATTTGTGTTCACTGACCAGAGTGTGACAGCATTATTAGCTGGGCGGTGGATGGGTCAACACCAACAGTGGTCTGTGGTTCTACTCCGTCCCTTCACTTTTTCTTTTTTTTATCTCTGCTGTTCTTTTACTAAATCTCTCCCATTCGTCATCGTGTCTGAAAATTTACGGACTCTTTAATCAGTGACAGCAGCACGATTCCTGCAGTGAGTAATAAAGATGACGGAGAGAAGACGGACGTCCGCTGCCGTAGTGAAGATGGCTCCACATTTCCTCCACTCCAACATCAGGGTCCTTTCATCTCTGGACGATGGCTGTGAAATAGATGGAAGATCAGTGGTGCGTGAATCAAAAC